AGATTTTGACTCAGACACGTAATATCTAAGCTGACTTCAAAGGCAGCGCCCCAGCAAAAAGATGGGTGCCGGGTTTCTGTGGCGATGTCAAAGTAGACCCCCTACCTAAGCGATGACTGAAGTTCGGAGCGGAAAGGAGGGTCTACCAAGCCTAAAATTTGCTCTGAAAATGGCCCGAATCTTACGGTAGGCTCGCGCGAGTACGAGATGCGTGCAAGGTAGAAACGCAGAGTCTTTGCAGGAACTTGCGCTCTTGACTGTGTGCGCTATGCGTGCTCTGGCCTTGCATTCAAAATCGATTTGTGGGCGGCGTTCGGGCCTACCGCAAGATTCGAGCCACTTGGGAGGCGATTTGTAGATTTCGTAGGTCTCCTTTCGCGCTGCAAACTTCTGTCGTCACTTAGTTAGAGGTCTGCTATTAACATCAATATCAGAGCCAGGTCCCTCCGATCTGGTGGGACGCTGCCTTTAACTCAGATACGTAGTATCTGTGTTAAAGTCAGCTCTACTGAATAGTGCTTGAAGCTAAACAAAAGACTTTTGGAAAGGGAGTTATGAACGATTGAAAAGTTTACTTACTTTTGAGACACGATGTATGCAAATATCAGGTGGGTCCGAAACTTCATGCCGTTTTTCGACCTATCTTCAACCCACTCAGAAATGAGAGACAAATAGTTGTAATAATAATTATTCTGAAGAATAATCGTCGAAATCCCAACCTATGGTTTTTTCCTGCTCTAAGTTTAGCTATTTTGAATTCTTTCGGACTATTAAAAGAGCGTTGACAACTACTGGATAGAGGCATATAGAATGCAATGCCACGCACTCCTTTTGGCATTCACATAGCTGGCTTTTTTTTCGGAATTATTTCCAATGCTAATAATTTCCATATTCGAGCATTCCAAACCTCGTAGAACATGAAACGGAGTGCAGTCAGAATGCCATTTGATGCAGCTTTCTCTACTCTTCTATAAGATATCTTTCTTTCCCAATTCGTGATAACTTCGCGGATATAATTATCATAATTCTTGTTTTTGAGCGTGCCCCAAGCTGTACCCAGAAATCAAAAATTGATATTTCAATGCGGTAAACGCTCATTTGCTTGGCAAAATTAGTGTACAATCAAAAGCGACCTTTTGAGGCTCCATATCCGTAAATTTATTACCGTTTGAAGTGTTACTGCGATTCACGAATTCGCAAAATTGATGACATTCGGAATATTTGTTTTGAAAAATACTGAAGAGCTGGTTTATCAAACGCAAGCATTTTCATTGTATTTCATTTGGTTCCTAACCAACTGGCTGCCAAATCTGTCCCAAGAGTTTGAAAAGAAAATTTTGAAAAATAGCCAAAGTATGCAGGTCAGCTAAAAACCATGGCTTCGAGATTCTGACGGTTATTTGAACGATTATCAGAAGACTCGGGAAGAAAACATCATTGCGAGAAAGAGGAGAAAATTATGCATAGAACACTGAGAATGTTTGTCTCAAAAGATAGGAATGATGGGGCCTTTGAATTTGCAAGAAGGAGGATTGCTTTTGAGAAATGCCTGGCCTTATGCTGAGATAACATCTAAAGGGCCGGACATACGTCAAGAACTTCCATCGCCTCGCGATTCTCCCGGCAAGACAATTGTTACGAGTTATTGGGTGTCGACTAGCTTGCATTTCGGCAAATATTCGCCCGGTTTTTCACCTCCTCAGAGCCTTCCTGCCATGCTGAAAGCATATCTGAGCTTTTCAGCGCTTGAGAATGGTAGAAATGAGCTTTTTTGAAGCTCTACGTATCCGCACTCGCTCCAAATTACGTGTAAGGCCCCGGACAGACTTCACGCGATTTGATAGTTGCGATTTAATCGCCGCGTTTTCATTCATTTCCATCTTACATTCAAAAATTTAAGGCTGGAAAAGTATCACAACCGAATGCAAGTTTATTGGCATAGAATGAAGTTGTAACAGTTGTCTTGTCGCGATTCAATCGCGACGATCAAATCGCGTGAAGTCTGTCCGGGGCCAAAGAAGTAGGCGGTCTCTGGACGTAGGGAGATCCAGAACATTTCCGGACTGATTTTAGGCTTTCCAAAAGCGCTTTTCCCTTTAGACTTCACTGATAGACTATCTAGAGGGTCTACCACTGAGTTTTTGAAAGTTACTTACATGAGTTATAAAAATGTGCAAGTGACTTGTTTATTTTTGTAAACAATTAAAATAATTTTTAAATTTTTTAAAAATTCAAATTAGCCTTATAAAAATTTTTGAAAGTTACTTACATGAGTTATAAAAATGTGCAAGTGACTTGTTTATTTTTGTAAACAATTAAAATAATTTTTAAATTTTTTAAAAATTCAAATTAGCCTTATAAAATTTTTTTCGGGGGCTAACGCCACGCCCCCTTTTTCCAGATTTTAGGAGTGGTGAGCCAGCAAAAATTTTGAGAAGCCCCCTAAAATTTTTTCGGAGTGCGTGGCTAACGCCACGCACCTTCATTTGAAATTTGCCGCCCCCCCCCCCTAGCCGAAATCCTGGGTACGCCACTGCTCTGAGGGGACACTGCATTTAAGATCTGCAACATTACAATGATTGGCGTTTTGCTAGCGTGGGGGATCCAGATCGAACTCACGGACCTCGTTCAAAAGCGATCCACGGGGTTGTTCAAAGAAGCTGATTACGAATACCACAATCAATTTATGAGAAAGGCCATTTCGTAGAAGTTACGCTAGGTACACGTTGGCTAGTCAAAGTGGAGATTCTGACATTCCGACGAGGTCAACCGAGCGACTTCTAGGAGAAGTGATATCAGTAAAGTTTTCTGTCAATTTTGAGATGTCTAAGGTAATGTATTAGGTTGTGTAACAAGTTCTGTCCCACTTTTTCTTTCGATTTTTTCTCAATATTTTGCGCGATGTTCTGTAAATTGTTTATATGCATTTGAAAGCTCTAAGCCTTCTCTACAAAAACTTTCATTCTGGTTTCCTACATCAAATGACTTGAAAAAGTTTTACAGCGTAAAATTTGGAAAACCAAACAAGGAAAAAGTCCATTTTCGACAACTATGTTACGTCGCCTTCTTAATTAGTTAGAATGCCTACGAATAAGCTCGAACAATTTGTTACACGTAAGCAAAGAATGCTCTAGCTTCTACTGCGCTTCAGGAGTGCTGAAACGTTTCAAAAATCATTCCTGTAAACTTTAGAAAAGTCTTTTTTCTAACGCCTTTTCAACGTTGGTGTTAAGCATCATCTGAAGGCATTCTGAGGGAAGACGTAGGCGAAACATTCAGAAATGACAGAAGGGATGGTTTGTGGCTTCAAACTTATCGAATTCGTAGATTAAATACTCAAAATTCGAATTTTGGGAGCCACACAGCTTGGGTACGCGAGACGGCGAACATCGCCGTGAGAAAGTCTTGCCTTCCCAATTTTTAAAAAATGTCATTAAATAGCCGGTGGAAGAAAGGGAAGATGCGCAAACAATGATAGAATAAATGTAAAAGTCGAATAGATTGTTTTGGTTGTTGTCAAGTTTGTTTAGTAAGTTTCACCAATAAGAATCGAGAAAAATTTGGAGGAAAAAGATGTCGAAAATTGATTTTTTTGGCTCTTTGAATTTTTTGTTTCAAAGATAAAAACCTTTTCAAATTTCTGCTATGTTAGGGAATGATGCATATGAGCCTGCAGAGCAGAATTAGAGCTTTCAAATGCATATACGCTTTATCTCAAATAAGAAAATAAAACAAAAAATGGGACAGAACTTATTACACGACCTAATATAAGGCTCCATCTCAATCTCCACGCTAACGCGTTACCGTAAGGAGTATATGTGATACTTATCATAACTTATAATAACAGGCTAAGGGTTGTTTACGTTTTTTTGTGTGTGTGTCTGTCTGTCCGTTACGAAATTCGTGGGAAGAGTTCCAGCCAACCTCTTAAGCCCAAATTTTGCATAGCACATCCTAGCAGCGAGAAAGTCCATTGTGCAAAAGCAAGCGGATCCGATAAGTGGATCCCCTGGAAATTGCGCTGGAACGGGTCTACTTAACTTCTGATCAGCAAAATTGGGTCCATATATAAACTTTTTGCAAAGTTCGTGGATATGTTTGACAAGTTAATGTACAAGAAACGGACTTTAGCCCAAAAAATTCAACTAAAGTTGGTTACTTAACGAAGATGGCGCCAAAAAGAACTGGTTGCGTAAATGTTTAATCCAAGATTTTGCGTGATCATTTAAGAAGATTTTTGCACAGAGATGTAGACCACGATGATTATTGCCGTATGGCGACTATCAAGCCATAAAAAGTCCACAAACCTTTGAATTTGCATTTATTCTTTGTGAGAAAAGTTTCATCCACGTGAAAGTACCGATCTCACACAAAAAAAGCTCTAGAAATGAGTAGCTGTTTACAAGTCATTCGTGATAGCCTGCATAACGCGGTAAGTTTCAATGTCACTATTATGAGGGAATGATTAAGGCATACAAAAGTAGGGCCAGTGCGAGCCTCTGCGAAGCAGAGGTGAGGCACTGGTAGTCTAATGAGTGAACTGTGTAAAGTTTTAGCAGCTGCAAACACTTGATTCAGAGACCAGACGCACATCCACCATAATCCTCAAAAAAGGTCCTGTGTGCAAAAGCAGTGCTATTTTGGTGGTTAACATGTCCAATAAGCCTCCAATAAGCACCTAGGCCGAGTTTGAGCGAGATTAGATAAAGCGGAACACAGTGTTCGAACGCACCAATTTATGTAGAAGTATGCCCAGGTAGAGCGATTAGCGATTTGATCGCAACGATTTCATCACTCGCTTTATGCGTGAGCCTTGAGTGCTTTAAAGGAATGAGCGCGTTTTTGTGCATATGAGGTGAAACATTGAACATCCTAATTAAGATTTATTGTTGATCGTCAATTCTCAAAAACGAATTCTCTTTACACTTAATAATGTATTACGCAACTATTACAAAAGACACAAGATTAGACAAACTGATTGAAGCAGAAATTCAAACGATTTATACTTCCATGGTTCTTGTCCTTGCTGAGACTGGTAAAACACTAGTTGATCTCAATGGCCTTCGAGCTAACTTGTTAATAGCAACGTTCAAATCCTTTGTCTGAATAACTTAATTGAAGATAAATAGTCGGGAAATAAGATTTTTACTTGTTCTGGCATTCTGGATCCTTCACGTTCTCCACTCTCCTTCAGCTCCTTGGGTGTCAGTCCGTTCGCAGATATTCTTTGCAAGTTCGAGGGAGATGGTTTCTACAAAATAAATCTGCTTATACAGAAGTCAAACATTTGCGCGCAAGAAATCTCTTCTCATAAAATTTATTGAAATGCGGAGCTATACATCTTGAATTTACATCATAATACCCGGATTTTTTTTGATTTCGCAAAATAGTAGTCTAGGCTCTTTTGAACCTTTGGATGTACTGAACTAGCATTTTTGTCGAGGATGACTAATACCTAAACGCTCCTTGAACTTGCGACAAATTAATATGTGTCTGTTCAGCTAAGTTAACAACACTAAGACTTCGCAAAGATGGTCCTCGGAACCGACGAGCCCCCCTCGCCAGTGTGTGATCAAACGCGAACGGCGACGGAACTTTACAAAAGAGCGAAAAATGATTTGTGCCCCTCCCCCTTCCACTCATAATTAGGACACTACTGACTCGTATTTGCTATAAATTAAATGGTTTTTAGGTGTGGAAGAAGCGCTTCACGTTGGTGTAAAGTTTTTGCAGATTGTAGAAGTTTTAGGAATTGTTTGCTCGCAGAGGTATTGCAATGTTTTTGAAAGGGGCCATGCAATTGGGACAAGCCATAGTTGGATGGAGGAACCATATGCTGTTTTTGTCATGGACTTGCCAATCTACAAATCACTGCATCATTTTCATCACTTAAAATTAGTCTCACCTTTTGTGGGATAACATCTTTGGTCTGTAATTCTAATATCTTCAAGGCTTTTTTATCTGACATTTTGCTCAACGAAGATGGTGTCTTTGGACAAACATCTGTAGTCTTCAAAGCTTTTCGTGCAGCCGCATTCTTGCTTTCAGATACACTCTGTGTGGTTTTCGTCCCAAGCGATTTGCTGCTTATTTTCAGCGGCTTATTTTCAGTTGCAGATTTCTTCTTTAGCAACATGTCCGAACCAGGAATGTCATCTTTTCTGGTCTTCTTTCTCTGAAATGTTAGGCTTATTTTTTACTGCGATTACCGACAAATTTTACTAAATTTCTAACAAACCCTGTTGCCAGACGTAATATAAGGTTTGATGTTGGGTTTAGCGGACTTTTTGGCAAAACCCCTTTTTATTTCTAAAAGGTAGTAATGAGATAAAAACGTGAAATGTGTAGACCAGCCATACTTCTTTTAGCCATTCTTTTCCTCTTCATTAAAATCATAAATGCCAATGCCAATGCGAGAAAGAAGAGCACAACTGCAGCAAGTATCACAAAAATCGCTCTGAATATTAACGTCTGAATTTTTCGAAACCTAAATGAATATTTGCAGATTGTACAAAGGGCGACCATATCTCACTTCTACAGAATAAGGTAAGTAAAATCGTTTGAGCTCAACAAAATGGAAGCTTAATAGGAGAGTGCTTTTATAGAAAGGCTTTGAGGGAGACGTAAATTGTGAAATCAACGATGAACGCTGTCCTCAAGCTGTCTTTTTTACCTGCGAATTCATCGTAGAAGATGTTACAAGTTTAATCACATTAGTTAACGGGTATATATAGCTGGCATTGTACGTTAGACGGCGTATTACAGATCGCAATATCATTAATTGATCCTGTACTTTGATCTGCTTATGACATCGTAATTTTTTAAAAGAATCGTAGAAGTACTCTGCACAAACGGATGCAGGGCTTGGGATCAGTAATTGGTACTATTTAGCAATCACCTCAACCCAAAGGATCCTTCGACAGTTATTACTTCCCTCGTAGTGCACTTGTAAGCGTCATGTTTGTGAAACTGATTTACACAAGTGGTGATATCCGGATATGCCTGGTGAATGTCAACACTAGAGCCCACCATTCTACCTCACTTCTACAATTTCCTGCCATTTCTACATACCAATCCCGTGCCTCTCGAGTTTTTGTCATTAGAATGTTCCCAATTACCAACTTCAGCACTCCCGGCTCCGTAGGTCAAAGTTTTCGAAAAATTGTTGGAAGTGACGGATAATTTTCAAATGGTTGGAAAATTCGTATACAGCACGCTCACTCACAAACCTTGCCAACTCCCACCTGCAAAATTGGTAAAAGAAATGTTGAACAAGTTTTCTCTGTACATGCATCGCAGTACTAGATTGAAAGCACATACTGCTGAGGCACTCTATTTTTCACTTGCTATTACAAACCTTCCGCACTCCCACATTTTTGCAACATTTTAAGAACTGATACTAGGTGAGTATCCGATTACAAACCATCAAACTAACTCTGTCGATAATTCGTTGTCAACTTTTCTCATCCGTGCTGCTGGTAGCAAGCTGCTAATAAAATGCATGATTTTGAATCATTGATGAAGATGATTGACACTCACTTATTTGCTTTAGCTCTTGTGGCATTTTTGGCAGCAGTAGTTACACGCATAGCTCTTGCAGACGTTGTGCTCTTTTTCTTCGTACCTTTTGAGCTCTTGGGAGAAGCTACGCTAGTGAAGTCTTTAAAAACAACTTTTTCAGAATCAGTCATAGGTGTAGTTTTCAATGTTCTAGATGAGCTAGTCTCCTTAGCCGTTGTTCGCGCTGTTTGGGAGACATTTGTGCCTATCTTTGTAACTGTTATCTTAGGCGTTCCGCTGACTTTGGTGCTACTCTTGACTCTGGGCACTACGATTGTCACAATTGCAGGACTTGTGCTCGATGTGCTTAATATTCTTCCTCCTGTGGTCGTTATTGTTGAACTTGCCGTGGTTGTCGTAGAGCTAGTTTTTGTTGTGCTTGAAGTTTTGAGCCCCTCAGTTGTTGTCACTGTGCTTGCCGTCGAAGTTAAAGTGCTTATAGTCGAGGATGAGATACTTCTGGTCGAAGACTGAGTGCTGCTTATAGAAGACAAGGCGCTCGTGGTTGTTGGACTTTGCGAAGTAGTTTTCACTTTTGCTGCACTTGTACTCATCGACGTTGTTGTTTTGGGAGTGGTCGATTCGGCAGTCTTTTCGGTACTAGCTGAGCTACTCAACGACGATGCTGTTTTGGAAGTGGTCGATTCGGCAGTCTTTTCGGTACTGGCTGAGCTACTCATCGACGATGCTGTTTTGGGAGTGGTCGATTCAGCAGTCTTTTCGGTACTAACTGAGCTACTCATCGACGATGCTGTTTTGGCAGTGGTCGATTCGGCAGTCTTTTCGGTACTGGCTGAGCTACTCATCGACGGTGTTGTTTCAGCGGTCGTTTGAACAGTCTCTTTGGTACTAGCTAAGCTGACAGTGCTCGAACTCCGCAGAGTACTACTCACTAAATGTAGGGTAGTTGCTTTAGTAGTTGCTACTGAGCTTGTTCTTTCAATTGTTGATGCAGACACCTCAGTCTTAGCTATAATTGTGGAAACAAACGAAGAGGTTGGTTTGGTAGTCACAACCAAGCTTACTTTTGTGCTTTTGACTGTTGATGTTCTTGAATCCTTCAGCTGCTCAGTTATGGTCACTTTAGGAGTTGTAAAAATTGAGCTTTCTGCTGGCTTGTTTTCCTCATTTGAAATTTTCGTGCTTGATATCATTCCTGCCATGGTTTTTGAGGTCATAATTTTAGTGGTATTCGCTATAGTCTGTTTTCTGCTCTCTATTGATTGACTGGCATTTCTAGCAAGAATTGCTATAGAGGACAGCAATGTAATTTTTGTTATATTTGCAATATTTTTTACTGAAGTGTCGTCTTCCTCTTCGGGAACTCGCGCAATCCTCTTTGGAGCAGAAGGAAGTTCATCTGTTTCTATTGTATCAAATGCAAAGACATTTGTTACGTCTTTTTGTGATACGGTAGACATATTCGATATGATCAGTTTCTTCGTTGTGGATGGTTTCGTTGGAGTGCTCGGAAATTGTTCTACCGTTACATAGAGTTGTTCATTGATTGAAGATTGAGAATTATTTGTTTGTGCGCTGATATTCGAAGTGTTGTTAGTGAATCTCGTTTTGGCTAACGAAAACTGACTTGACGAGTAAACTGGAAAGGCTTTTATTTCTAAATTGTTACCGACCAAGAAATTTCGTAAGTGTTTGATGCTCAATGTTTGATACCTGATTTGAACGAGTTGGTCTTGCAGAGTGAACATGACGCAATCATGAGCGACATTAACTGCAAAAGATAATTTTCAGTTGTTGTATTGAAGACTCAAAAAAGAACGCTCCACAATGTGACGGTCGCACTGTTGCGGCCGGCGCACCTCCGGTCTTACACCCAAAAAAAATCACTTTAGTGCTTCTTGTAATGCCTTCAAATGAAAAGTAGCATTTAGTAGGAAAAAGCGTTTGGCTGAAAGATAGAAAATCTGTAGAATTTGCGCTGGAGTACTCAAGAGAAAGGCTGAAGACAATACGACTGTCACGATTTTGCAAAGCCTTGCAGTGTCTTATCGTGACTCGGAATAAACCCAAGATCGCATGGCGAATGGAACGAAATCATTTCATTAAAGGCAGTGGCTCAGCAAATCTCAACCTAGTCAAATTTTCGTTTACCTGGAGTTATTCAATACGCTGATTCCGAAAATCCACATTTGAGAGCTTGAAAACGCCGAAAACGAGTGCTTTTCAATGCCCTTCCCTTTGGAATTGGACGAGTGCAACAAGGCTGATGACGCCGAATCCTTGCAGGACCCAAAGGTTATAGCATTGCGGCGGGCAGCCTCCAATGGTGAAAAGGAAATTGCCAACTCGTCGTCCGGATGCGTGTAAGAATGGCCTGCGCGTGTAAGTTTGAGAGCAATTTTCTTGGCAAGGAAGGCATGCTGTGCAACCGGGATTGCACTATTTTTATACTTGGGCAATAAGGAGTCTACCGCGTTAGAATTTTGAGCTGTTGAGTTTTGCCGATCCACTTACTTACTTAGATACTTGGATGGCCCGTCTTCACGTGGCGTGCGGGCCTCAGCACAAAAGTTGCCATTTGTCCCTGTCCCTCGCTTCAGACATCCACGATCTTCTTGGTTGCCGTCGGTGGCTGCGTCCACGAGTTCCAGGTGCAATATTCGTATCCGGCTGATTTCTCAGCTGGTCCATCCATTCCACGAACACGTTTGCCTATCTCGTTGGTGGTCTTCCTCGGGGACGTTTGGCTTCGCGAGGAATCCACTCAGATGTTCTTAGTGTCCATCTGTCTGTCGTCTTTCTTCTCATTATGTGACCGGCTCATCGGTGTTTGGCTTTCGCAACGTATATTCCGCTGAGTCACGAAGACGGGACATTCTTCTCATATCCGTGCTGCGAAGTCCGACTAGATGTTGCTTGCGTCGGGTCATCTTCAGAAGACTGCGCTCGAGCTCTCTGTGGGTGGTCCGTAAAGCTTTCGACGTGGCCACAGTGTCGGCCCAAGTCTCAGCTGCGTAACAGAGCGCTGGGAGAACGGGGTTGAGTCGAACAGGACAGGTGAGCACGAAACTCCGGGTCCGTCAGTTGATCGATGGCTTCCTTCAGAGGCCCGAAGGCGGCCCAGGCTGCTCTTCTTCTCCTGTTAAGTTTCCCTCAAGTCGTTCTCCATGTTCCTCGAACGTCCGAGATACACGTAAGAAGACGTCTCCATAATAGGGGTGCCTTCCAGTTCCATTTCTGCATCTTCGCAAAGGGCGTTCTTCATGAATTGAGTCTTCTTTTGATTTATTCGCAATCCGATCTTCTTCCCTACTTCGTTTAGTTCCTTCAGCATAGTCTCTGCTTCGGTGATGCTGCTCGAGAAGAGAACGATGTCGTCCGCAAAACGAAGGTTAGACAGGAATCTCCCATCATCTCGTATGCCTCTCTCGTCCCAGTCCAGTGACTTCATCACCCACTGCAAGGCCGCGGTGAACAGCTTTGGCGAGATTGTGTCGCCTTGTCGGACCCCCTTCCCGATTGGAATGGTCAGGGGGCGATGAAACAGCTGCATCGTTGTTGTACAGTTCTTGTAGCAGTTGGCTAGTGTCCTCACGTAGGCTGGGTCCACTCCTTGATCGACTAGCGCTGACAGAATGGCGTTGGTTTCGACGCTGTCGAAGGCTTTCTCGTAGTCGACGAAGGTTAGGACGAGAAGCAGTCGGTACTCCCGGCAGACTTCTATGACTCTCGAAACCGTCTGGATGTGGTCCATGCAGCTGAATCCCTTGCGGAATCGAGCTTGTTCTTGGGGTTGGGCTTTACCAGTGTCCTAGATATGCATGCGAGGATAATCTTCATGAAAAGCTTGTACAGCACACTCAGCAGGCATATTGGACGGTAGTTACGAAGATCCTCCCGTTCACCTTTCTTGAAAAGAAAGACGGTTCTTGACGGTTCTCCACTGGTCGAGAATCCTCTCCTTCTGAAGGTAAGATGTCAGGTGACACGCGAGAATCTCGTGTAGACGTTGTCCTCCGGCTCGCAGAAATTCGACGGAAAGATAGTCTGGTCCTGGACCCGTGGTTGTCTCTATAGTCTGAAACGCCGTGCGCACTTCAGCATGTAGTTCGTGGTGGTACTTCTCCAGTGGGAACAACGGGCATCTGCACGGGTGTTGATGAGCGGAAGAGGTTGGTATAGAAGTTATTCGCGATAGATTCCATCTTGTATCGGGAAGAAGTCGGAGTCCCGTCTTCGTTTAATAGTGCAGCCAGCGGTACGTGATATTTACAGAGGTCCCTTTGGCACTTCTTTAGATTTCGTCTTCCTTCGGCTGCTTCCAGTAATTTGGCTTGCCTGTATCTTCTGAGATCCTCCTGCAAGGCTGTTCTGCAACTGGCGTTGGCTATCAGTCGCTCGAGATGAGTTGCATTCGGATCCTGCCTCAGAAATCTTCTTCTTTCGAGCAGTTCCTTGGTGGTTTTCGAAATGCGCTCCAAGTTCTTCTCAGAAGTCACTGAGGCACACTCTCCGCAAGCTCTCAATCCTTTCAGAAGCCGGTCGTAGTCGTACGTTGGGTCCTCCTCAATGGGCCAGTCACAACTTGATATGAGCTCTTCCAACCTGTTACCGTCATAAACGACATTCTTCCTTCTTGCGGTACTGTGACAGACTTTCTTTTCTAGCCTTTGACTGAATCGTATCTTCGCTCGATGGAGGCGGTGATCGGAGCCACTGCAGAAGAATGGAACTACTGAGACATCAAGCAAGCCCCACCTTCGGTTGGTGAGAATGTGGTCGATCTCCGCGTGAGTCGTTTCCTTGGGCGATTCCCAAGTCCACCGGCGATGTTCCTTCTTCATGAAGATGGAATTCCCATGAAAGTCGTGCGGCGGAGAGAAGCCCAACGAGACTGTTGCCGTTTTCGTTTCGAAGCCCATATCCAAACTTCCCAATCCTGTATTCCTCTTCTAGTGGCGCCCGATCTTCGCGTTGAAGTCGCCCACAACGAACTTGTAGAAAGACTTCTCATTGCGGACGACCTGCTCCACGTCTTCGTAGAAAGCATCTAGTTCTAATTCGTCAGCTGGTGATGTTGGTGAGTAGCAATTGATGATGCTGATGGTCTTCTGGCGTGGAGGTCGTAGTCGTAGGATGGCCAGTCGAGGTGAGAGGATCTCATGCGAATCGACAAGATAAACGATAGATGGGTGGACGACAAAGCCAACCTCCAACGTTTCGTGATGGAACCTTTTCACCACGAATGATGAGGGTCCCATCACTCATCTGTCGCACATCCTTCTTCCTGCACTTCGTTTCCTGCAAAGCGATGATTTTTTTTATCCATGCATCTTCCCGGTTACTCAGGGTCTGCCACTCTTATAAGTCTCTTCCAAAGTTCGCGGTCTAAGGCTTGCTCTTCTTCGATCTTTAGTTCTTTCAGATCCGCTTTGATCTTATCCGACCATCTCAGCTTGGCCTTCCTCTTGGCCTCTTTTCTGGTATTTCTTCTGTTCTGGCTGATCTGGAAATATGGCTTTCTTCCCTTCTTTGCACGTGACCGTACCATCGAAGTCTTCTCTCTTGCATCTTCTTAGCTATTGGGGCGACCTTCATCGTTGCGCCCACTTCAACCAAGCTGCGTTTATCCTGGCAGCTATCTCTTCTTGGATCGTACCATCTGCGGAGATGCGGCTTCCTAGGTACTTGAAGGTAGTAGTCTTCTTGATTGGAGCGTCTTCACTCTGTATGGTTCCAGGCGTTTGAGCTCCTAGCTCCATGTACTCGGTCTTCGCGACATTGATCTTCAGGCCGTGCAGCTCGAGTTCAGATTTCCACTTCTGCACATCCGCCTCCAATTCATCCCTGCTTCTTGCCATCAGAATCACGTCATCTGCATACATCACGGCCCATGGAGGTTGACGTATGAAGTCTCTGACTATCGTGTCTACAACTGTTATGAAGAGGAGAGGTGACAGCACGGATCCTTGATGAAAGCCGGCTTTTATCTGGAAGTCTACTGATTCTCCTGCTGCTGTCTGTACGTGGCTTGTCGCATCTCTGTAGATCATGTCTGTAGATCTCTGTAGACCTGCAAAGCGATGATGTGGTACTTGATGTGCTCTGCAGCGTCGAGAAGAGCGTGGAGGTGGCGTTTGTGGGAACTGTCCTGGCGTTGTAGGTGCAGAGCATGAGGCAGTCTCCATGGCGTGTGTCCGGGCAGACGCGTCGTTTTCGTCCAATCAAAAAGGCGCCCTGAGTACCCTGAAATCGTTCTTGCTACCACCCGGCGCCGTAGGTTAGATCCGATGTGCAGGGTTTATTTCTCTTCTTTTTGCTGATCTTTTTGCTGATGAGTAATAAAATGTTTCCCCTACAAGAGCAGACTTACTAGGCTAACTCTTGATTTCCACGAGGCGATCGCTGACCTCGGATGTGGAGCGGGGAGGGACCGCCTAACGACCAGAAGAAGCCAGACGGCGGGGGATCTGGCGTGGCCGGTTCTTAGCTAGGCATCCGGCCGAAACCGGAAACGTAGAACTCCTTCACAGCTTGGGAGGCCCTACCAGAGTATACACTCGGCTGTGCATCGCAGTTCAACACCCAGTGTCACCCCCACGCCACGATGAGGCGACCGACCACTAGGCTAATTAGAGTTGCTGACTCTAATTGTAAAGTTCACAACTATGCCAAGTAAGGGGTAGCGGCCATTTTTTCAATGTTCCTAAAAAGTGTGGTTGAACCGTTCAAAAAGCTTCGCAATCTTGTGAATAGTTGAGTATTGAACTCAGCGTCCATAAAGACCCTATTACAAAGTTTCCACATTTTTTTGGAAAATTTTGAAACAGCTTTTTCCACATTGGCACCATATGTTTCAGGTTTCTACCGTAATCCTACAGTAATGAAGAGCGGTCGGTAATTCTTTCCATACTGTAACTCTCTAAGTTGAAGCCAGCTCTACAAAACCGTATTTGAAGCAGGGCAAACTTCTTGGGAAGAGAGATATTAACGATTGAACAATGTATGCATACTTTTGGGACACCCTGTATATCATAATTGGAAAAAAGTTCGGGCTACGCTTTATAAGATGTTGGATGATGTAATGAGAGTATTTGTGGTAAAATTGAAGAGAGGTATGGTACGACCTCATACACTCCCTCCTCTGAGTTGTGCCAATACGAGCCTCTGAATTACATATATACCGCAAAAATAACAAAAGGCCCTATCAAGCAGAATAAGTATTACTTTCATAATCAGCAAGTACAAACACCATGTCCAAGTTGAAGCGAATTATGAGTTTCAAATATCGGACTATTTAAGTCTGATAGTCGATTTTAGACATGGCTAACTTTACAGTATCCTACGTCAGCCACAACTTATTGCTCTCAATACAATGTTACTCCTTCTTCGCCCACCTGGGAACCTTACTTTAATAACCTTCAAACAAATGAATTATCCAGCCAAGGCCTCGTACATCACAATCTGCTTGCAGTGGTAGTGCTCTCTTTGATGAATGATGGCGGATCGGGCTTAAATTACACCTTCAAAAACTATTACATTTAGTTCATTTGTCACAACATTCTCTGTGACAAAAGAGTGAGTGTCGTAAGCAAAAAAATATGGTTGCCACAACTTTTTTGAACTTGTATCACTTCGGTGAATCTGGTGAGAAAGTTTTGACGAATCTATACGTTGAATTTCGCACTTTTCATAAGAGTGAGAGCTTACTACGCCTTCAATAAGTAACAGTTGCTGGAGCACTATTACTGCAAGGACTCCGAAAGCTATAAACAGTATGGCTGGCTTGTAACACCATTGGTGGGCTTACTTGCGGTGAATTTTTGAATGTATATCAAGAAAATTGTTCACATTGGAAAGCTAATGTGGAATTTTCTCATTAAATGTGATCTATACTAGATTGACTAATTCATCTTTAAAACTTTAACTATGTTTGTATATGACCAGTTTACTTAGATAGCCTAATATTTGAAAATTTTGGAAATTGCTTTTACATGGTGCATAGGGCTTGCTTAATATTTTGACTAAAAATGAAGTCATTCTTCTTTAGGCTTTTTGTCATACTTAGTCTAGCAAACGGTGATGGCTCTATCTCAGTGTGCCAGAATTTTGCATGATGTGCTGACTTGATATCATCTGACAGCTAAAGATTCTCAGACAGTCGGTGCCGTAGCTCCGGAGGACAGTCGAAATCTAGCAGAGCCGCGGAGGACCCAATTGACCATTGAGAGCGGGGCGAGGGGGCGGTTTCTTCTTGTAGGTCACGGTGACGTCACAAGCAGGCGAACCCCTCCGCGATGCGCAAATCTCTGTTCCGGAGGTACGCCAGGTTTTGGAGAGCCCCGGAGCAGAGATTTGCGCTCCGGAGGTACGCCAGATTTGGGACACCTCCGGAGCACAAAATGAAAAGTTTCCGGTGCACAAATGGGAGGGCTCCGGAGCAGAAAATGGGAGGGTTCCGGAGCACGAGTGGCAATCCCCCGCTGGGGAAACCCCGCGGCTCTGCCATTTCTGCTCCGGAGGTATACCGTCGACTGTCTGAGTTGCTGGTCCATTCGCACATCCATTGCACACTTTTTGGGCCACTAGTTTGCATAGGTATCAAGACTGTTCGTTCTTTCATTGTGATTCAGTCTTGCCTATCAGGTCGTAAAAGATCGCTGAAGCATAGGTATAAATTTATAATCAGTCTCCAAACTCATACAGACGTGGCAGCTCAAAGAGTGGCGGTTTTTGTTAGCAAGTGAGCGCGAAAAACGATGCTATAACGCGTAGATTAACAAGTAATTCCTTATAAACAGAGGTCAGCAGCCCGCCTCTATATATGGAAAATGACATTTTTCATTTATTTTGAACATCCCAAGTGGGCACATGATTTCCTTGGAAAAACCTCACCGCATGAACAGTATTATCAACCTCTTTTGGATGGAATAGGATGTCAAATTGATTTGGTCACATTTACAACTAAACAGTTTTTTGTTGAGAAAAATCTTGTCTCCTCCTACATCCACAGTATACTTGCAAACAACATTATAAGACCAGTGTAACTCAGATTTGAAGCAATGTTTGAGCACTCTCTTGATTTTGAATATTTAGAGGTTGAGAGACCTGCATTGAGCTCTGAGAAGTTCTGCACCTCTCGTCCATTTGTTCACGCTCAACAATTTGAGCGGTATTGTATTGTAGAATACTCTTAATCAGATGCTCTAAACGCTGGCATACAAATCGGCGGTTCCCTTTCTATGCGGAAGTTTAGCAATCCGTTTCTTCAAGCGATCGTTTGCTGTAGATCATGTATTCTGGCAAGACGAGCAATTGCAATTGGGCTTATTGTGCGCAGCAAAGATATTTGACATATGCAATTGCTAGTGCGACATCTACATATACGTCAAAACAGCGAATCACATCAAAGATCGTTAGAACTCGTATTGTCCACATAACAGATGGTTTTGAAACCCTTCTCTACTGTTTCTGCGAGCGCTTCCGCATTTGGGAGACACTGATTATTGTCGCTTGAAATGATTTGGTGACTACTTCACCGTAAAATTGATGCGGATGTGCAGCGCAGTAGCTACAGACTCACCCGATGCACCAAAACATGCTGCTTCATGTGAGCACTGCCGCATTAGTGGAATGTACCATCATGCAGGAAGACAACAGAGGATCAAAAGTTGATGGGAACACTTTTGAGAAGAAGTTCATGCTGGCGGTGTGTTATAAAGTAACAGGTATGTCTCATTCTTCGACCAGATGACGTTAGAAGGCTACGGGGAAAACTCCATCTTTTCCATTGGAAAGGAAGCAGGATCAAGTTTGAGTTTGTCAAGAGACGCGGCACAGCGTTCTCTTTTCTAACCAAAAACTGGTTGATACCCATCATAACTTATAATAACGGGCTAAGGATGTTTACGTGACTTTGTGTGTCTGTGTGTGTGTGTGTGTGTGTGTGAGAGTGTGTCTGTTACGAAATTCGTAGAGAGTGTTCCAGCCAACCTCCTGGGCTCAAATTTTGCATAGCGCATGCTATCCGCATGAAAGTCCAACACGCAAAAGCACGAGCAGATTCGTTGAGTGGATCCTTCAGAAACTGCGCGTCAAACGGATCCACTTTGCATTTGGGCCGCATGATTGGGTCCGTAATTCCACTTTTTGCAAAGTAGTGGATGTTTATGCCAAGTAAAAGTGCAAATCATGAACTTAGACCCAAAAAAGTTTTCAAAAGTCCATTATTTTAGAAAAACGGCGCCAAAAAGTATTGGTTGCGTAAATGGTCAATTTGCCAAAGTTTTAACAGACCATTTGACAAGATTTTTGCACAAAGATGTAGCTCACGGTGACTGCTATTCTTACTGCAACTGTCAAGACCATGGGAAAATGAAAAACCTTTAGAAAATTGCGTTTGTTCTCCTGCAAAAAGTCTCATCTACACGGAATCACCGATTTCACATAAAAAAGCTTTCGAAATGAGTAGTTGTTTACATTTTGTTCGTGATAGTCAGCATTGCTCGGTGAGTTCCAATGCCATCATTATGCGAGAATGAGTGGGGCCTAGATAGTAGAGCCAGTGCGAGCCTCTGCGAAGCAGAGGTGACGCACTGGTTTAATATATAAACCAGCAGGGGAGAATGGCGAGTTCAAAGCGGCCGATTAGCACGAAATGGGTGCCTTTTTAAGAGTTCGTAGATATGGTACTCATATCCTAATTCCTGATCTATTTTTGTTAGCTGTAGATGATACTGGTAGTTATAGGGGTTATTTGAAGCTTGTCGCAAGCGCTTTATTTTAATCTCTTGCTACAGGGGTAACCGTGTAGGCACAGCGCAGCAGCAGGTGTGCAGCCTTTGGGTCACGGTAGATTCGGATTTGTTCGAGTGTATTTTCTGGCATTCTTTCTTCTTAAGAATTGAACGTAAGCCTTTGGAATGAATTTTCAATCTAAATACGTTATCGGGACGAACGACATTATCACATCCTGAATACCTAGACATGGCATTTTCGAAGCAAATTTCAAGGTCTTTGCAAACTACGTCAGCGCACCCACCCACAACATCTAGCTTACCTAATCATTCAAAATTCAAGTTTGATGACTACGATGCGCTTACTTTAAGAAGGCTTCTTATCTTGATCATTTTGTAGTCTACATCTGTCACCGATTTTCTATATTAGAAACCGTTATCTTATATCAGTTTTGATTTTTGCTAAAATTACAAGTAGTGAAGTGATTTGTTCCGAAGACAACGTTTAGAGATTAAGAAATTATTTTTTTAAGGCTAACACTCAACGCCTCAATGCGGTGACATAATAGGAGCGCACTTGCTCCTATTATGCTATAGAGACAGTACACTTCTCTAAGGTCATAGAATTTTGATTGGCTTCTAAATCCACAGTTTGGAGGGCTTTTAAAACGGGATTTCTGATATGGGCAAAGAAGGAGTAGTACCTTGTATTGAATGCTAAAAGAGGTAGCTAATTCACATTTAAACAGAAGTTAATTATGTACGAAATTGACCATTTCCACCAGATATCCTAGTATTTGGTAACTTCAAAATTCTCTCAAACTTAATCACCAGGGGTTATTTGACATGCTGATTATGAATATAAAGGATATTCGTTGACGACAGCCCCGTTTCGTGCAATTACACCACTGCGGGCGTGCTTGTTTGAAGCTTTCCAGCTTTACAGTACCCTAAGCGCGCAGGGAATTCGCAGCTCGCAGCATCCCTGTCCTTTGACCTCTTCCGCATTTCTCATCTTTTTCTCACCTTTTTTTCCTTTTTAATCTTCAGTGTAGGCACTTGCTCATCAGATACTCGTTCTCCCTTTCTTTGAAATTGTCTCGGTCGAGCATCCTACAAGTTCTGCTTTGATGGATACTGAAAGAGCAGGAAAAAACGTTTTGGTACAGTTATTGAATTCATGCTCCTTTTTACATACCATACAAACATTTTCAGAATCGTAAAGTATCGCCTCGGCATAGTTAGGGGAAAGAATATGCTTTCTTCATAAGCAGTGATGGCTATCATGCCTTCTCCTCAAATGAGACCACTGAAATGTTTATTTTAGCACACTTACATGTCTTCTGATGTAGAAGTGCTGAAACAGCCACTTCAGCAGTCTCTTTTAAGAAAAAAAAGGCAAATCATTATAAAACACTGAAAAAAACATTGCACTCCCAATCATAGCCACGATATCCGCCATTGCAACTTTAAAGAAACTCATAATTCCTTCTGATTCTTTCCGGAGCAATGGTTCTGCGTGCATGAGAATGTGTAACTGCCTAAAATGAAAATTAAGGAGACAAAACAATGTGAAATACTCAAGCAACAAAAAGAGATTAAAGGACGGGCATGCTGTGAACTGCGAATACCCCGCGAGCTGCAGCCTACTGTAAAGCTGGAAAAGCTTTAAAAAGGCACGCCCGCGATGGTGTAAATGCACGAAACGGGGCTGTCGTCAACGAATATCCTTTACTACCTGTTATGCTTTGTAAATCCTCTTTGCTATGGTAGGTATACGATGACAAATCAATAGCTCTTTCTAGAAACTGCCACGAATAGCATGTTATTACTATTATACTACTCGATTACGACTCCCTTCCCTCATGTTATTACTATTATACTACTCGATTACGACTCCCTTCCCTTTTTAACTCAACGACCCTGGATGTGGCGTGCCACACCCCATGTTTGACGGTGTTCCCAACACATGACACTTTGAGCAGAAAACAGCAGGGAGCTCACATAGAACAACAAGGAAAGGTTTACTGAAAACGGAACTTGAATGTTGTACGCTTGTAATAACGATAAAACGAGGAGGAGGAGGAGGAGGCAGTCGTTGATTATCAATGACGATAAAATACATGATAGAATTCAGAAAAGATCGGAAAACGGGCCGTGGGCATATCTCACGCGATTTCATTCCGCGATCTGGTGAATTGACAGATGTCTTCGAACTCAATAGCAGACCCCATATGCACAGCATGTTCAACCTTCGTAGGTTGATAAAATGTTCTATCTCTCATACAGAAACCCCCTTACGATAAGTTGCCCAGCTGGAGTATTGCTAAATCGCTTGAGGTATGCACAGGGAAACGCGCCAACCACCATGGACACTCATGTACCATTTGATTCAACTGGCTTGGCTTCGGCAAAGGCGGGGCTTCGTGACTTAATTAAGGCTAGGTAATAATCAGAGAGCACTCGCGCGTGAGAGAAGCAGGTGCGTCGCGAGCGCGAGCGGCCTCAACTAGATCACAAAACCACGCTCTAACGGAGCCAAGCCAGTTGATTCAGAGGTTACGCATACGACGTTCTCCTAATGGCAAGAAACAGATAGGAGCCCTATGGAAGTGCGGAAGTACTTAAAGAGATCAACTTAAGATGGGTGGACTTGAGCTGAAACACGTCAAAAGTTAGTATTGGTACTGAGAACACAGACACCCGGGTCAATCCATATCGGAGGCGCGCTACTCAAGAAGACCACTTCTTTCAAGCATCTGGAAGCCGTTGATGAGATAAGTAGTAGAGTGAAACAGCGTGGATGAAGTGGAAAAGTACCACTAGAGTCCTATGTAATAAGTGGATGCCAAGAAAACTGAAGTCCCTCATATATCGCACGATAGTCGGACCAACGGTGCTATAGGGAATCGAATGCTGGGCCATGCACACGTGACGAAGAGAGGATGATCAACGTAATGGAAACACGGATGCTGAGAGGGACTACAGGAGTGGCTATGCTAAACCTTGTTCCGAATGGCACAATCTGAAGCATAATGAATGTGACACCAATTGTGAAGAAAATGCAAGAAAACGAGGAATGAACACCTCACTCAGGCATCGCGTCACGAGCTGCTGATTTCTTCGTCCTACTGTTGTGCATCGTGTTGAAACCAGTAATCCACGAATTCGGTGCCTAATTGAGGCGTTCGATTCTCCACCCCTTCCACAGCGGTATGGATATGGACACGTGAGAAACCACATCACGAGATTGGCCATGTCAGTGGAAGCGCCGGGGAAGAGGTCAAGAGAAAGACCTAAGATAAGATGGCTGGATAAGGTCAAAGCGACATGAGAGGGCTTGTTGCAAGTGAAGAAGCAGGTGTGGGGCCGAGAAGAATGCAAAAGAGTAACAAGAGCGGCAGGCCCCGAGCGACGGGAGAATGCGAGGATAAAAAAATGCGCATGGCTTTTGTAAGCTTATGCGCTGCCAAATCTTGCTTACAGAGTATGCGGAAAGATTAGAACAATCCCAGCAATTGGAAATCGAGAGGCAACGAGATATGACCGATCCCCAAGCCTTTAGAGACGACGTAGTCGAAAGGTTGGGCCACGATAATAAAGCTTCAATGAAACCTTATGGTGTTTAATACTAAAAAATCATGAAACTTTGAATCTCATCGGATATATTAAACGACATCCATGGGAATTTTAACACCTACTCACAGATTTTGTTTACAAGGATCAAGAATAAGCAAGTATGAAGTGAGAACAGGGCCCGGCACGAGTCGGTTTCGAGGGTTTCTGGAAACAAAGTCTCCCCTGAATTTCGGAAGTTTTACGAAGTCCCCTCTGACCTACCTGCTTAGGAGAAGATGAAAACAAGAAAGATTTACTAGTCTGAAAGAAAGGAGGTAAGATAAGAGTGAAAATAAAAATTGGAGCTGAATACTACGCATGCACAAGACTTTGGCATTAGAGCGCGATATTCAACAAAGCGAGAAGAAATGAAGACAAATAACAAAGGAAAGGCAATGATATGAAAATGTCTTCATGCCCAGGGATAGATTTTTGACCGGGGAATCCGTCCATGCTAAAAAGACCCGAAACTTTGAAGTGACGAAAATATATGCTCCAGGCGATCTCAGATGGTCTGGTGGCCGTCTGGGGACGATCTAATTTTGGAAAAGCTATTACTCCACATAAGTTTTCAAATCTCTTTACATAATCCTTTCAAAAATAATTTTCTACACATACAGTTCAATTTTGGTGTCATATGCTTCTGTGTGGGGACGAGTGGCGTAGTGGTATGAGGCGCCGCTATGACCAGATCGGTCACAGGTTTGATCCCCGCCCCTAGGCCAAAAAAGCCCTCTACCCTCCGGAGACGGTAAATTGGTACCAGAGTAATCTGGGAGGATAAAAGCACTGACTTGAAAACGGCTGGCCCCTGCAAGTCATTGTAATAAGCTCGCACCCATACAATTGCCTCTTCGACTATGAAGTTAGTGTGTGCGTTCGGCGCATGCCCTCAGAGGGTATTGAAAACGCCGAATCCTTTATTATTTTATTTTTATTATGCTTTTGTGTGCGCTGTAAACAAGCAATTTATATATTTAAAGGCAGCGTCCAGGCAAAATCCATCCACCCAGATTATCACATAGTTGTAAAGAGGGGCCCATAAGTGTCCGATCTGCGTTGGTCCAATCCTTTGACGTGTCCTCTAAAAGGAGATACGGGCCTGTGATACGTATCACAAGCTGCCGCTTCGTATCACAAACCACCCCTGAGGGCGAGTGCTTACGCAGGGTGCGATTGCATTGCAGTTGCATTGCAGTTGCACTGCACGCTGCAATGCAATTGCATCCGTGCAGTTGCAGCTCCTCCCGCTGGCATGACGATGGGGACGAGCAATTCGAAACTCGTCCACCTTTTGAAGAGAGGGTCCCCAGAACTGGGTTTTTTGGGAGTTTCGAACAATTTCGACTTTACAGTTGTAACCAGGGCCACTGAAAGGTCCCAGAATGGCAGAAACATGAAAGACGAAATTTTGCCCGGACGATGCCTTTAAGCTTTGCTTTTGAATCGCGCGCACTTTTCGCCTTACAGATGGAGCATGCCAGTCGTGTGATAACCTGTCCGAAAAGCTTGTGTTCGACTAGATGGCGCTTATTCTTGGTGCTCAGTTCCGCTCGTCAAAAGATATCCCCTTTGCTGTTTGCTTTAAAAGCGAAGTTCAGCCTGCTTCTAGACGATCTGTGCCGGGCTCTGAGTGAGAAATACCTCGAACTTAGTACTGTTTAACCCATTGACAACAACGCCTAATTCTGCGTGGCGGCGCTGTGGAAGGACGCGATTCTGCACACTTTCGGTGCGGAAAGATTTGTGATTCTTTACGAAATCGATTCGTGTAGAGGCGGATTTTGCCAAATCAAAGCGTGGCGGTTTTTGGTGGCAAGAGAGTACGAAAAACAATGCTATGACGTGGAGGTTCAACAGTTCATTTTTAAAATTGGGGAAGTCCACAACCCGCCTCTACACGAATTGTGGAGACGATCATAAATTGAACATTTTCTCGAATGGCGGACCTATAGGTTCCCAATAGTGCAAATAATGTAAAGAATATAAATATGTGGGAAAAATAGCAGACCTACAACTACGACTTTGCAAGAAGTATGAACCACCGGTAGTCCATATCGTGAAGGACGTGCGTTATACTATAAAGCCCTTGCCGTCAAAGCTCGCCGCCGTGTTCGACACGCGCGCCGAGCTGACTTTACGGTGTCCGCATCCATTTTGCACCGTCGCGCGTGAGCCATGAGGTAGCTGTGCGCACGCTGCCTCGTTTAGGTTCATCTCCAGACCATGATGTCGCGACTTTTACTAAACTTTACTTGAAAACACTCAGAAAAAGATTGCTCATTCGGATTTCAACGTGCGGCATTGTCCGTCGCACGCGATAAGGTGTGAAATCAAGAAAAAATTGTTCATTTTCTTCTTTTCATTTGGATTTTCTTTTTATCAAATAAAAACAAAAGACTCGTTTAACCTAAAACTCCTTCAATTTCGTCAACCTTTTTTTATTTTGTTTCATTTTTGTTTTTGCCATGACATAGTTGATACATTGTTATTGCAGGACCTGTGCCTAGATTGCAATTTGAGATTAGTAACCATTCGGCGATGCTTACCTGCAACCTTAATTTACTAGAAAAAGTGCCTACGGCAAGAAGACCACTGTGATGCCGGAACATACATACGACGATCATTTTGACATTTCAAAACATTATTCATTCACGTACTAGGCGTCGCGTTAAACTTTGGTTTGATAAGAAATTTTCATTTCAATAGTCCTTTGTCTTTATTAGAAAGTAAAAAGAATATTGAACCGAATAAAAAAAGATAATGAACAAAATTTTTCGTTCACACCTTGTCGCGGTGCGACGGACGATGCCGCACGTTAAAATCTGGAAGAGCAATTTTTTCTGACAAGGGAAGGATACTTGGTGACCGTGGCCTTTTGAAATGTAACGTATACCATTAAATGCATCTTGAAGCGCTGATTCCAAATCTGTTTTCGATATCTGCTGTGCGGTTTTCCGAAAGAAGTTATGAACATTTCTTGCCACAAAAATTTGCACTGTTTTTGATGCAGGATTTACCAATATCATGACTTATAATAACGGGCTAAGGGTGTTTATGTGACTTTGTGTGTGTGTTTGTGTGTCTGTTACGAAATTCGTGGAGCGTGTTCCAGCCAAACTCCTGGGCTCAAATTTTGCACAGACCATGCTACCCGCATAAAAGTCCAACACGCAAAAGCACGAGCAGATTCGTTGAGTTGATCCCTTAGAAATTGCGCGCCAAACGGGTCCACCTGGCTTCTGTACCGCAAAATTCGGTCCGTATCACCACTTTTTGCAGAGTCGTGGATGAGTTTGGTAAGCAAATGTGCAAGCGATGGAGTTTAGCCAGAAAAGTGGTCGAAAGTTTACTACATAACGAAAACGGCGCCAAAATGAATTGGTTGTGTAAATGGTCAACCTGCCAAGGTTCTAGCTAAGCGTTTGAGAAGATTTTCGCACAGAGATGTAGCTCACGGTTACTATTACCTTCATGGCGACTAACAAGCAATGACAAATCCAAAAACCTATTCAAATTTGCGTTTGCCTTCCTGCAAAATTTTCATCCACTCGAAATCACCGATCTCACGTGAAAAGACTTTCTAAATGAGAGGTTGTTTACATTTTATTCGTGGTAGTCGGCATAGCGCGGTGAGTTCCAGTGCCACGATTTTACGAGAATGAGTAAGGCACATAGATAGTAGAGCCAGTGCGAACCTCTGCGAAGCAGAGGTGACGCACTGGTCGTTAGAATATTCGCTTACGCACTACAAAAAAACGTCAGAATAAATTAAAGCTTCACGTTAAGCTCAGAAAAACTGTCTATGATAAATCAGAGTCTAAAAAGCCTGGATGCTAACGATTCTGACTGCCTAAATCTCGTAAAATCAATATAGAAAAAAGTCCATAATTTCGTTCACAGAGTCGCACAGCAAATAATGAACATAGGTTTGGAATCAGCGTTTCAAGGCGCATCTACTGGTTTACATCTCATTGCAAAAGGCCACGGTCACCAAGTATCCTTCTTTTGTGAGTGTTTTTGCATAACTTTTTTGGTCGCGACATCGCGGTGCGACGTCGCCGCGACCAAGTTGGACGATGTTGCGTTCGCGCGATTGCCTCATGGACGCGCATCGCTGCAAAATAGGTGCGGAATATCGTAAGCCAGCTCAGCGCACATGCCAACTCTGGTGGCGAGTGCTTTGTAGTATAACGCCACGCCGCCCACATTGTCGACAATGGGTTTAAGCTTTCAAAACAGTGCAGGTGGGCGTATGCACAGCGGATACATTGTCGCCTCCCCCAACAAATTAGACGGACTACTATGTACTCGATAAATTAAAGATCTCTTCTGTCTCACAACATTGGATTGTTGCCAGTGCAAAAACCTACAATGCTTTTCTTAATCTCTCAATTTTCTTGGGAGCACCCCTTAAAGATGAGTTCAAGTGTAGCGCTCGGAGTTATATCAACATCGTTTCGGTAATGTCAATGATATATTGCCAAGCGATTTGCCGTTAAGCTCATCTTCAACTACTAGGCTAGATTCCTTTTTGTCATTTCATTGCACTCCACTGTCTGCTCCATGGTTGAGTTTGTTGAGATTGCTATTGATGCCCAGAAAAGGTACGCATCATTTCATGTGGAGCGCTAATTGGAGAACGTCGCGCGCGACTGCCAGTGACTGCACCCGGGAATTTCGGACAGCATAATTCGCAGCACACATTTTCTCTGTTTTCCTCTGTTGAGGTTCACAGACTATTCCCATATCAGTTTTGCTACTTTTGCAGACTATTCTCATATTAGTTTGAAATCGCTTCAAACAATAAACTAACTTAGAGAAGGTGTATAGTCTAGGACGCATAGTATAGCAATCTTTCTAGCCATACACAGCAATTAGAGTGGGCCTTGCAGTGACGATTTCCGCAAGTCTTACATAGAAATGTTTATCTGTTTTTTTTAATGCGAAGCAAATACATTTATTCTGATGATCACAAACTTAATTCTCTTAAAGTTAATATCTTTTGCCGACTTTAGTACAGATTTGATGATAAAACATGTGATATGCTTCCCTTCCAAACATTTAAACTATTTTTTCTTTTTGCGTTTGGATCGCACCAACTCTCCTATTCCGTGATGTTTCTGATGAGCCAAATCTTGAACTCCTTCTGCCGATCTCTTAAATACCACGTAGCTGACAATGAGTAAAATGAACACTTTGAACCAAATAATGAAGCAAACCTGTGATTTAGTCTTTTCCGAGCTCCGGGTTTTAGTTGTCTCCGTACTGTGCGTTTTCGATGCATTTTCTGCACTATGCGTTTTTGAAGCTTTCTCTGCGCTATTTGGCTTTGGCACTGTTTCGATCTTTTCTGCGCTTCGTTTTTTCAAGGCCGCTGGCTGAGCATTAGGCTTTTCAGAAGCCTTTAGAAACAAATTAAGTTTCGCGTTTTAATCTTCAAATGGCTTACTCCTTCTATTTGTTCGATCTGCGATCCTATATAAACGATAGTATTCTGTTCTGGATCAAAAGATACTCTAGAAAGAGCCTGCGAATATTCGTCATCCAGCTCGTGTTTCTAAAGGTAAATAATATATTGTTTGCCAATCAGCTGCGAAGAAAATGAGGTAGGTCAGTCATTGAGTGCTGTTCTGCTAATGACTCCATACTTTTGCGTTTTCCACCAAAATTTTATAGTTTTGTTGCTTATTAGTATGAAGAACGGCAACTAACAAATTGTTTCGACTGATGTCTATACAACTTTGAATTGTAGCTTTCTCTTGTTTTCATTATTGATTTACTAGAAAGGGATTGATTGCGTTGTTAGAGCCGCTCTGATGACACCCTTTAATTAGAACGAAAACCCTGTAAAGTTTGTGGAAAGAAGACATTTAAATGTAAAGACCAAACTGGGAACGCAATATTCTGATAAAGTTGACGAAAGCACACACCTAAGCATCACCAGCATTACAATGTTGAGCTGTTCGCGAAACATCTCTTGTAGAAGCTTTGTAAACGTATGAGCATCCGCAACGCAGACTTCACACTTATCTATTTACCAAACGTATTTATCTGCTAATTGTGAATAACCATAGAAGTATTTTCAGGCATCAGCTTTAAGCTATGAATCTTTCACTTGCATCGCAGGAAGGATGGTGAAAAGGATGACGGATAGTGAGAAGGTGACGCAAATGCATTAACCTTTAGTTCATCATTTCATGTCAGGATCGACATAAATTTTAAGAGAAAAACGCTTACCACTTCTCCTTCAAGCTCTGCTTTCATCACTAACGGAACCTGCTTAGTGTGCTTATAGTCTAGAGTTGCCGCTTCCATTCTTCGTGGTTTCTAAATTTATGGCGGAAATAAATTTAAAATCATAAATAATCATAGCATGACTTCAATCTCGACTTTTTTGAATTTGTGGTGGAATATGGTATAATGTTTATTTTCTTCCACTTCTTTGTAGTAAGAAGTTCGTACAACCCTTTCTTTGTCTTGCTTTGATCGCTTCCTTCACGATAGTTGAGCTAATAACAAGTGTAGCTCGCTTTTATTTATATAAAATTTGTCTGTCGCTAGTCACTGATAAGCCCAAATTTGACTGGGTGCTGTCTGTGAAGCGTAGCTTGCCAGGCCATGATTTTATTTCGCGAAAGTCTTGAAAACTTGATCAATTGAAGCTGCTAATAAATTTATGCTGAAACAGAACTGTGGAAATTGTGCTGTGCGTGCGTTCTTTCTTGGGCAAAACATAACATTACACTTGAGAGACTAACCAATGGTAGCCAACTCAGTATTGTTCTTGCTTTTGGTGGAGGCGCTTTTCCAGTCCTCTTTCTCCTCACTGCCTTATCTAAAACAAATTTGCTGAAAGATTTTGAAAAAAGGTCTAGCCGTAGAACCAACGTTGGGGCTCTTCTATTGTTGGCAATCTCCTTTTATGTCGCTTGCACAAGTAAATGACAATCACCACTAAACATATGAGTATAACTACTCCAGCGCCGCAAATCAATATGATTCTGAAAAAGTAAATTGCTTGAATGCACAACACGTGCTACAAAGCGATAGTGTCAAATCCTAAATCTTTGCGACAGGAACTTCATAAGTTCACATACACTTAGCGTATCTTCCTTGAACTTGTCAAGAGCAGTAAGAGCTGTGCCACACGACCTTTAAAACTATTCCCCCTCCCTTCCCTTGTGAGTGTCTTAATAGACCCCCTCCCCTTGTTCCCATTATCGTCTACCTATCATAGACATAACGAAGCGCTATCGAGCGTAGTAACATCTTCTCAATGAGCATGCCAATTGAACCGGGTTAGCCAAGTCTAGCGAATTTACAAGCACTAAGGCACTCAAGTGAAATAGTGACTCTCAGATATGGCTATCTTATCCAAAAATGAGTTGACTACTTTTTTTTGAGTTCAATATAGCACTCACTCTGTCTTTGCCCACTTGACAATTCTCCAAAAACCGCTAAACTTTAGAGTTGTTAGTCAGCCAAAATTCCTTTTGTCTCATATTTCGCTTTCAAAGAATGTGCCAGCGGCTATTCTTTAACTATGTTATTCCGGATATCGGACTATGGATCTACTATCTGCCAAATGCTTCTTTTGAAAGTAAGTTAGTGAAGTGTGGCACAACCCAAAAAAGGTGTGGCTGCCATACCTTTTTTGGAGTTATGCTGCACCTACTTATTATACTTTCTAACATCCAAGTATTGAAGGTTTTTTATACTGTTAAGAAACGCTAAATCTTTTTCTGTTTTCAGTAGAAATTTTATTTGAAATTGAACTCAATTAAAATTTAAATTGAAACTTAAAAACCCTCTTTTTCCCCTCTCCAGAAAAAAAGGTTCCATTGTATTCATAAGATATGTTGTAAGCCACGCAGGTTTGTTAAGTTCTTTATTTCGGTCTAACGTTTCGGCAAAAATGCCTTCCTCAGAGACCTGAAAGAAAGCCTCGTACTTGTACTAGCTAGTGCGTGATCGTTTATACGATGCAGCCTGTATTACGAGGGATTGCGTCATTTGTCCTTACGGAAGGATGGGAGACTGTACCAAGTTTGGCATTATTTACGAAATTGAATGTCTAGAATGCCACGCTACATACATAGGGGAAACTGGTCGTCAACTCAGCCTGCGAATTAATGAACACTTGTCTAGTAAAAGACGGGGAAGCACGTCAAGTCCGCTAGGGAAACACAGAAAGGTAGATCATCACGGCAATGACTTCAGTATCAAGTGCATCATCCTAGGTCACAAGTCGAAAATTGCTGCTCGCAAAGCGCTTGAAGCGGCATACATTTTTTCGCGCGAACCTAAACTAAACGGAAAGAATGAGCAGCTCCTCATCACAAGTGACTGCCATTTCTGTCATATTGTCACTTAAAGATAACATATCCACTATTACTTAAGCTGGCCATATCGGTCAGTTCAAGTCTATTACCACCAGTGGATCTTCAAACATATGATATGTTGTTGCCTGATTGGTGAAGAACTTGGTACGCTACAAAGTATTGTCTCAGCGTGTTTGCCGCTAGGACATCGAACTGAGCTAGCTGAGAAGAGAGATTTGACAGTACAGAGTGAAAAACAAGTACGAGGCTTTCTTTCAAGTCTCTGAGGAAGGCATTTTTGCCAAAACGTTAGACCGAAATAAAGAACTTAACAAACCTGCGTGGCTTACAACATATCTTATAAATTTAACAATGCCCAGGTTTCATGATCAGAGAACGTATAGAATATTACAAGAGGTTCCCTTGTAATTACGCTAAGTCTGCGCTATTGTGTATATTGGAGGGAAGGTGGCAAAATATATGTATTCGATAGATCAAATTTTTTGGTTATCACAGAACTGATTTGAGCTTAATCCGTCTTCTTTAATCTGAGTAATGATTGCTGAAAGCACAACCATTGGCAGCGAAAATGTGAAATGAGATTTTGGCTGACTGCTAACTCCATATTCCGGCGGTTATTCGAGAGATTTTTTTTGGTTGCAAAGAAGAAGTAGTGCCGCACTGAATGTTCAATAGTATACAAGTACCCCTGATTACTCAGCTTCACTAGAATCAGGGTTCGGCACGCGTTGGTTTGAAGTATTTTTGGAAACGAAGTCTCCCATGATTTCGAGAAAGTTCACGAAGTCCCTGTTGACGTGAAAATCAGTAAAGAAACGCTTATTCAATCAAAATAAAAATAAAAAGGCGAAAAGGAGCATTTTGAAGTACTTATTATAACAAAAAAAGCAAAAGGAAAACAATTCGAGTTGATTAAAGCCTCTATCATTGGGCAGGGTAACATTTTAGTGCTCAGAATGTCGAAAACCTCCTAGGCCAATCAAATCTGTGGCCTCAACAATTTGGCGATGCATTTTTCGCCACATAGTTCAAAAGGGCACAGCGTGTGATTGGAGCGCAATGTCTATCAACGCACAGATTTGCACTACTTTTGGCTCAAAAAAAGAGGAGAGGCAATAGTTTGATTCGCTCTCTTAACTATATGATAGATTTTTGACCGTTCTAATCGTCCAAATCAAAAAGAGCCAAAACTTATGTGAATTCGCCGATAATCATGCTCCGAACCAACCCACTTGGTTTGGTGTTGGTCTAGAAACCAACAAATTTGAAAACGGATATTAGGACACATAAGTTTTGGGAACTTCTTGCATAACATAGTTTGGAGTAATATTGTATACACATAGCCCAAATTCGGAGCCATGTGATTGTTTGTGCGCTGTAAACAAGCCATTTGTTTGTTTGAATCTTGCGTTTGAAATTCGCGCGCTGGCGAAAGAACACGTTCACTCACGTTCGACACGTATAACCTGACATGTTCGTCGTTGTTCTATCGGCGCTTCTCCCAAGGATCAAAAAACGATATGCCCGTTGCTTCTAACGTAAAAAACGATGTCCAGTTTGACCCCAGACCATCTGTGCCAGGCTCTGACTAGAATTTTGCAGGTTCACATAATGCGTCAGTGCAGCGCAAACACCTTTAGAACGTGCTTAAACTCGATTAGCGTCTATGGCTAATACTGGATGTGTGCAATTGTAGGAAAGGGGAAAGATCTTGCGTACGAATGTTATGAATACACTGTATTTACTTATCTCGCGGTGGGTGAAAAACCAACTCAACATCTTCCGTATTTTGATTCATTAGACACTCATCAGCACGGATGAACATATCTTTTGTCATAAAAGAAAAGAATCTAAATTTATCGTCCTTTACGCAGTGCAATCAGCGTGCTGGTTCCCCTGCTATACTATGCCTACAAATAACAGTTGTAGCCCCTAATAATGGGAAACAGACATAAAAAACAGCGAAAATCTCAATCACAATTCCCATGTGAGATACTGGCTCGCGACTCGCAACGACATCGTTGCACTACGCGCAGCTGTTGCCGTCAGACGACCTATCCCTTTTTTGCTGCTCACTCAGCGCGAGCTTTGCAAGATTTGTGAGTATGGATATCATACTTATATCTCCAACATCAAGTTTACCTTCTAATGTGATCGTTATCGAATTCTTTTTCTTCTTCTTCGTAATTACTTGCTTTCCATGAATGGGAACGAATTCTAAATTTATTATAATTTCTTAGGAACAACACCGTAATATGTGCTTCTATACTTATTCACCTTTGCCTCTTCAAATACAAAACTTGAGTAATAAATCGCTTATTCGTTTTTTCACAGCGGGAGAAAAACAGAAAGAGATGAATTATGATAACAAGGAATTAGGAAATGGCAGAGTTTACGTTTGCAGCATGGCATAATTCACTTTTTCCTCGATTAACCCTTTGCAACTTGAAAGGGAGGGTCAGGAATTCGAACTGGTCGATCGATGCAAGATGCAAGTCATTGACGAGAACATGAAACGTTGATTCCAGCTTTTGGTATCTGCGAAGCGCCTTTACTAGTTATGAGCATTTTGAAGGCAAAAAGAATGGGTTAAAGGCCGGGATAAGAGCAATCGTTACAACCTTTTTATATATTTAATAGAGGAATCAAAAGTGCTGATGTACTAGGGTAAGGTTTAGAAAGACTGGAAAGACTAAATTTTACTTATTAGGCTGCTGCATAAGTTCTGTCCGATTTGAATTTTTTGAGTTAAAAATGTCATAACTTCTTTCAAAGTCAACCTTCTTCCAAGATCTTAGTTTCTATATGTTGAGTTGACTATCAGACACATATTGAGGCTTGCAAAAATCCATGTTGAGGAAGAAGCTAAAACTCAAAAATTTTACAGCGTTTTTCTTCAAACCTGTCTTTTTTGACATCGCATGCTCCCTTATAAGAATTGATAGGCACTTTATTCAATAACGGATAGATGGAGAAATCTTCGTGGATTATTTTGCCAAAGAAGCCACTTTTTGACATGGCTCCAGCACATATATGCATGCCTATTTATAAATTATGATTTTACAATTAATATGAGCGCCGAGAATGAATTGGTAGATGGGCCCTTCTAGTTTTGGCTTTACCCTAGCATCTGCAAGTTCGAACTCATCGATTACTTCTACTCGCAGAAAGTGTTATGGCTTGCAAAGCATTTATACAAAGAATTAATATTCGACTATAGATTTTACTAGCAAGACGATTTCTTCATGGAACTGAGCATCGGTATAAACTAGCCTTTTACACCCTTTTTCCGCAACCAATGAACAAATTTGACTTGAAGGACGCATTTCGAAGATTTTCTCGCAGTAACGTATTTCTAGGGTAAGAACGTACCTCGGCCACTTGGAAATTTTGGTCTGAAATCTCCTTACCTAAGAAATCTATTGAAATTTGGTATGCGTTATAAAGAGCGAAAAAGCACTTTCTAATGATTATAACAATGTCGCATCAGAGGTGAAATTCTCTTAGAACAGCTGCTTCAAACATAAAGCAAAAAAATCGGACAGAACATATGCAGCAGCCTAATGCATTAGTTCGTTCTTCTATACTTTTCCCTTACCCATAATTTGAAGAATTGAAATAATTTCTTGCTTTTTCAAAATCCAATCTAGCAATGTAAAAAAATTTTTTTTGGAAGGGCATGGCTACCGCCACGCCCCCTGTCCTGAAAGTTCGGAGTTGTGAGCCTAAGAAAATCTTGGGGCAAAGTTTGCGAAGCGAGTGCTAACAAAATGCACTTCATCTAGAAAAATTTTTTTGTCACCCCCTCCCGGAGGGAAATCCTGGTTGCGCCACTGGCAAGGGGGGATACTTGTTGGTGACCGCGGCCATTCATAAAGATTTGTATATCGAAAAATGCGCCTTTCAAAAGTTGGCTTGAATACTGTACTTCCCACATATGCGAAACAATAATCTTTAAGGAGTTACAATTTTTTTATCATGAATAATTACGCTACTGCGCAGGGTCAAAATCTTCAATAAAATATTTCCTTCTCAAACGCTTCCTTCTCAAACGCTGGATATGATGTATGGACACAACAGTGCTCTTTTTAATATTCTTTTCAATAGCTTCAAACGGCGACCTAAAACAAATTACACAAATTGTCACGAAAAGTCAGTAATTTCCTTCGAAAAATGGTTTCGCAGATAGCGAGCATAGATTTTTAACGTTTTTAGATGCATCTTAAGGTATACATCGCATCACCGAGTATTCTTTTCTTGTGAGTACAAGTATGGTAAGGTCTTGGCGTGAACTTGTCAGACAACGCCCTAAGCTGCTGTTCATACCTTTTCCAGAAGCCTGAAGTTCAACTCAGTTCTCGCATTGTGCTGGAATGTGCCGAAATTGTGCTGCATGGGCTGCAAACTGCTCTCATGCGGTTTTGAGGGGCGAGAGATTGGACTGGAGATTTTTGACCATTCTCAAAGGTTTTTCTCTCAAACTCATTTCGGTCTCATTCCTCTACCCACTTCCCCTTTTGATAGAAAGAGCCCAATTTTGGAGCGGGGTTGAAGAATGAGCGCATTCTGCGGAACTACGCGGCGGCTTTAGCACGCAAAGTAGGTCTGAAAAATAACGAAGAAAGAATGGATAAGCGCACGAAAATCTATGGGTGCATGGAACAAAACGCAGTTCTTTTTTCAACCCAGCGGCTTCCTGGAACAAATGGAGTTGGTCTGCAATAATAACGGCGGGAGAATATACGAGAGTGCAAAAAGAGACGTCTCTTTGATTACACAAAAGCAGAATTGCGCTCATTCTCCAGCCAGTGCATGTAGCTAACTTTACATAGCCCACACCTAAAGAAAAGCTAAAAAGGCAATACTGGATCTGCTATCTGTGTGTACAACTTGTTTGCAAGAAAATTGCTCATGAATTCGTCCACGGAGGCGTTCAGAAGATAGGTAGACAGATTTGCAGTCCGTTTTATACTGCGTCCAGCGGTATGCAGCTTGTTTGGATTAGCTACTTCCAGTTATCACCAAGATTGAGTAAGGCAACGGGCATAGTGCTCGCGATTTTGTAGTCGCGATTTCATTGCCAGGAATTCGGTGTTTTGGTGATGGGATCGCGACGACGAATCTCTCATCGCAGAAACTAGGCATAGTACGAGCAATCCCAAGTCTTTGCAAACATTAAAACTAGGCGCACGCAATAAATAGAACCTGTTTTGTGAGTCGAATACTTCCTCTCAGCATATACTCCCGCTCATGCCGATAATGAAATACGAGCGCAAATTTTTTCCATAATTTGCCCATCATTCGCCTTAAAAGCTTATTAGTTCAAAAAGTACTCGTCTGCAAATGTTGGCTTTTGGAAGCTAACAGCTGCAAAGAGGCTATTCACTAAGTTTTGACATGACAAGCAACCACAGAGAAAGATGGAATGGGCTTAAGGAGTCAGGCGTGCCCGACCTGAGGGCGTTTTGAGGTAAGGCTGAGAGGAGAAGTCGTAATCAAGAAAAAAAATTGTTCAAAAATTAGGAAATTCTACGATCGAGTAGGGCGATGAAAAAAGCCCAGACCAGCGAATACCTCAACTTCCACTAAAATTGGGAGAATGTGGTTAGTCGTGAACAACATGCTGAATAACACCACTATCGAAGTCCCAGCTGAACTTTGGTTCTCCATTTTTACTTAACACGTACCGCAACGTCAGCAAAGGAGCTTGATGTGTAAATCGGGTATGATTATCGTAATTAGGATGTCAAATTACCTCTGCCCTACGAACCATTATCTGTTGCATTTCGTTTTGCAAAGTCTCAGCGTGATTTACAAACATGGCTAACTTGATTTCAAAGATGAGAAAAGTCAGCCTTATCATACTCATAACAAAGTAATATCCTCTATCAGTCTATGTTAGAAAAATTCAATTAACGCGTTTTCAGAGTATCCTTTGTAAAATGTCTAAGCCTTCGCCAAGATTGGTATAATGTTTATTAGGCTAACGTTTCGGCCAACTCGCCTTCGTCAGAGCCTGTAATAAGTGAGTAACATTGAAATTTACTCGCCCAAACGCCTTTCATCTTGCAGGAAAGAGACAAAAAGTTGTACGAAACGACACCTAGGTCGAACAGCTCACCTTAAACTTGAGGTCGAGACCACCCACCACCGAGTGACATGCAATGACTGAGTGAGTTAGGGTTCCTGACTTGAGAGTAGTAGGTCAAACCTGCATAAGTCAAGGAACGGCGCGAGCTCATTAGTTATGGCAATGCACTCGTCTTTTCTCTTCATCTGCGGATTTCTATTCGAAATCCAGCAGGCCTCTAATGTTTTGCGTGCCGCAACCTCTGTTTCTCTAGACAGAATTGACACTGAGACGTCGAATTCTGTGTTGTGGTGCTGCAGCTTACGATGTATGCCTAGGGGTGTTGAGAGCCTTAAGCCTTTGCGCAACCCGTCCAAGTGTTCTTTTATCCGCAGGCACAGTGGTCTTCCCGTTTCTCCTATGTACTCGGGCCCGCATAACTTGCATGTAATCAGGTATATGACGCCAGAGCACATACAATCCCCAGGCCTTTGGTAGTGCAGATGATGCAGTCCCTTTCACAGGTTCTGTCGTACGCTCTGTTGCGAACCAAACGTTGCCTGAGATTAGGAGGAGGAACTTCGACTACTCGTAGCGAGTCCTGCAAGCCTGATTTTCGCAGCACGCTCTAATTGCGCTATTAAACACATCCGATATGAACGGAATGCAGAATGATACCTTATCCTTCTTTTTAGGGGAATTACCAAGCAGCCTGCCGCTGCAGCGTACTCTTGCGCTCTTACATGGAGAATATCCATTTGCCTGCGCTATCTGAATAGCCTTTTGACCGCCGCAGCTTTGAGATGATCATCCGATGACACTGCTTTGACCGTTCGCAACATGTCGCGTTTTCTACATTGAGAGTCGATCACCACAAGCCGAATAAAGTCAGAGTAAGCTCAAACACCTACGGTAGAATCAATGAAGCTTGTGCTAGTGGATTACATAAAACGAGGGTGGCAAAGCTTCTTCGGTTCAAAGTTACTCGGGTCAGGCACAATTGCTGATAGGTCAGGCTGCCTGTGCTTTTGTAGTCACGTGCATGACCCCCTTAACATATCTTCATTCCAGAAAGGCTCCAGTTCCGGTATGAATATTGAGCTCACAGCTTATTCTTGCTACAGTTGTAATTTGGAGCTTAACACGTTACCCTCAATAGGGTGTTAAGCTCAGAGGGAAATTGGCCTTTTTAAAAGCAGGGAAATCGGTTTTTAAAGCATTACTCAAATCAAAATCAGCCAACAAATTACGTGTGATTGTAAAGTACAGTCAGAGAAAACTTGGGCATACAAACTTCAGATACCAAATACTCTTCAAAGAAGAATCATAAACTCCAAAATGTCACACTCTGAGGTTCCGGAGGTGAGGCGGTGGAAGAAGAGACCGTTCGGGAGTTCCCGAGTAAGGGGAGAGAGTGGCTGTCTTTCTGAAAGACTTGTGCCTGACCTAACGCTTAAGTCTGATTATCACCACTTCCTTGTAGGCATATTTGAATTTTTGAACATTGATGGTAGACCCGTCCATAGTAAGGTAAGCACCTCGAAGTGCTGCACAGTTGATAAGCAGTACTAATTGTATATTTAGTCTAAATTATTGATGGCAGAATTTCCCAATGACAAGCACTTTGAGTGCATACCAAATATGTATGCGAATACGCACATTTTGAGTTTGTTAATGTTTCTCCAACATGAACATCGATTTAGAAGAATGAAAGGCAGCGTCTCGGCAAAATCTCGTTGGCCTCCTATTTGGAGCCTTCTCGCAACGAAGGACTATTCTGGGTTTTCGGCACATAGAAATGGGGAAATTGAGAACTCCAAAGCTTTCCAGGTCCGCATTCAGTGGAAATACGCCGTAAATCCTCCGCACCCCGCCTCCCTCGTTTCGTGCCCTGCCCATTTACCGTATTTTCCACTGAACGCGGGCCCGAAAAGCTTCGGAAAAAGCTCAGCCGCCATTTTCAAGTTCTGAAAAGCCTAAATGTGGATTTTTTGGAATTTCTCGGAGCCTTTTCGCCTCTAGGCGGAAATTCTTCGAAAGTGTAAAGCTGGAGGACGAAAATCTGCCGGGACAGTGCCTTTAAACAGCTCATTGATATCAAATAGCAAAGGATTTGAGCATTTGATGCTCTTCCAGTGTGCGTCTACATCTGCCCTCAGGCTTGCGGAATATACTTGTTTGCCGAATTTGAAATCGGTAAGAAATGAATGACTAACTTTGACAAAGGTCTTTGTTGCGTTGTCTGGGTAATAGTAGTAGTGGTGGTGGTAGTGGTGGTAGTAGTAGTGGTAGTAGTAGTGGTAGTAGTAGTAGTAGTTGTTGTTGTTGTTGTCGTCATGAACCATGGAATCTTCCAAAAAAATCTTTTCAATCTGTTGTTCCGAATTGCATCATTTTTTCTAATACGGCGATTTACTGCGCTTGATATGGCTTCTAGATCATTTGTCGTAATCAGACGATTGCTTGGCTTTACTGCAGCTGCACTCGTTTTGGGAATGAAACGCTTCAAATAATTTGTGGGAGTAGAGTTTGTCGGATATTCTTTTTTGTTTCTTCCTGAAACTTTCATATGTCAGTATTTTATTAAGCCACCCCGAAAGTTCATTCAAACCATCTCTAAAAATTCTCAACTTTCGATTTTTCCAACCGAATTACTTGCTTTTATTTTTTGCTTGAAAGAGTAAATCATGTTCCTTGTTACGGTATACCAAATTTTTACTGCACGTTGCACAGAGAGAAGCGGTAGCAGAATATTCAAAATTATTTCTGTGTGAGAAAATTGAAATTTGTATTCAAAATCGGAGCAGTGAGTTTCAAAGGTCTTACTACCTGCTCTTTTCGACTGAGCAAAATTTGTGCTGATTGAAGATTTCTATGAAAAGTCATCATCTTTAAAAAATGCCAGGAAATCCAAATCTGCAATTTTGTATTGCTCGCTCAAACAAAGGAACGTTCAATAAGCACAAACTTTGCTCAGTCAAAAAAAGCCGGCAATAAAACCTATAAACGCATAATACAGACTGATCCAATTTTTACTGCAAGTTTTGAATTTTTACGACCAAGCACAAGAAAATCTGAGCAATTTTTTCTTTTATCTACCATAGATATGTGTGGTGAAAAGCGCAAAAATTCTCTCACAAGAGGCATGATTTACTCTTTGAATAAAAAATAAAGGCAAGCAAGTCGGTTGGAAAAAACAGAAGTTTTAGATTTTTGAGATTGGTACAAAAAACTTTCGGGAGACCTACTATTTATAAAGGTAATGAGCAACATTTGTAAAGAGAGTATGTCACGGTGAGCAATAGAGAACTGAGAAATCGAAAAAAGTAGAAAGTGTTTTACCATTGATGGCTCTGTCACTGTGCAGTGAGGCAACTCCAAGTAGCATCTGAAAATGAGCTGTTTGATGACACCAATGGAAATCGCTTGCTTTATTTTGTGTATGAGTGTGCTTAGTAAGACTAGTATAGACAAGGAACAATAAAAAACTAGGCACTTAAATACACTCTACTTATTAAATGTAGGTTGTTTTCAGTGCGCAGAGAAACCACATCATAGCTTTAAGCAACATGTCCAAAAAGTGCGATAGGCAACTATCACAGACGAATAAGGCATGATTCCAGCCAAAACCTAGAGAATAAAACATGTTTGGTCGATAAGGTACATCTTGAAGGCTTTCAAAGTTTGTGCCTGCTTTGCTCAACTGGGCAAACGCTTTGTCTGGCAGTCAACTTCGGCGGCACTTTGCCACCCAAGCGAATATTGATGGTCACATCTAGATTTTCCGCGTAAATTCATGTCTTACATACTTTAGCCAAGATTAACCCCAATTTATTTCAACCTTTTTGTCTTCCCACTGTTACATCTTGATGTTAGAAAATCGCTTTTTCCTCTTTTCTCTCTTTTTCCCGAGTTTGCCTGTATCCCACTCATTTCGGTAGGTTCATGTTCACTCAAGTAGATGCGTTTTGAAGTGACGGATATACAGGGTGTCCCAAAGAAATGTATCCACTGTTTGATTGTTAATAACTCTCTTATCATGAGGTCTTTCGAGAAGCGGTAAGTGCCATTTTGTAGAGCTAGCCTCAGCTTAGATTTACAGTACAGAGCAAATCACCGACCGCTTTTCATTACTGTAGGATTACGGTAGAAACTTGGAACATATGGTGTCACTCTGGAAAAAGCTGCCGTTTCAAAAAATTTCAAAAAGATGTGAAAACTTGTGTAATAGGGTTTTCAGGGACGCTGAGTTCACTACTTAACTATTCTCAAGATTGCGAAGCTTTCTAAACGGTGTAACCGCACTTTTTAGGAACATTGAAAAAATGGACGCTACCTCTTACCTGGCATAACTCTTTAATGAAGCATCATAATAAGTTGGGAGTGGACTTTACAGTTAGAATCATCAACTCCAATTGGCCTAGTGTAAAGTTTTCGGGCTGTTTTGATTCCTTTCTGAGGCAAAATATGGCCTTTCATGCCCCAACACCCTCTTTCAAGTTTTTACCGTATTCCTATTGTAACGGAGAAGGATGGACGATTCGCTCTGTACTTAAATCTAACTTGAAGCCAGCACTACAAATTGGCGCTTACCGCTTCTCGAAAGACCTCATAATAAGAGAGTTATTAACAATCAAACAGTGGACACATTTTTTGGGACATTCTGTATGTAATCACAGAAATAGTCGTGATTTTTTGACTTCACCAAAATTTTCGTTCCTCTATTTCACCCATCATATGGAGTAAAGTATTTGCGTAGAATGTTGACAGCATGCGTATAGAAGGATAAAAATCCTTGAAGTAGCTTCCTACCTTTTGAGTGATTTTGAACAATTGAAAATTAATTCACTTAATTCACAAAAATTAATTCACTCGTAATTCACTTTAACAACGCCGTATAAATGCGTCGCCTCCTAAGCATAAAGAGCCCTGCTTTCTCCATATTACCAAAATAGCAGTCAAACTCGCCGAGTGATGTTTAGCGTAGTGAGTAGAATTCGAAAACCCAATCATTCCACATTTTCTACCATAAGAGCTCGGTGACTTTGGATAAAAAAGGTTTTTTTCTGGGGATTGTTTACATTTTTAGGTCATTCACAAAACTAATAATGGTTTGATAGCTGCCATAAAGACAATAATTACGATGAGCTACATTTCTGAGTAAAAAACTCCTCAGTTTTTGAGATAAACCTTCTACAAATCAAAATTCCAAACAGTTAATCCCAGAAGCTAAGTGAACTGCTTCTTGCGCAAATTTTGTATGCTCGAGCAGCGAATCCGCTCGCGCATTTGCAGGTTGCACCAAAATGCTAGGATTATGTTTTGTGCAATAAATTCAAAATCTTAACTGAAGCCACTTTCAAGCGACTTGGCGACTTGCCAGATATCTACAAATTTACCGTGCGCGCTTCGCGAACGCATATATGGGTAGCTTGTATGAGTTGTTGCAAACGGACCAAATTCTGACGAAAGGCAGCGCATTAACACGTTGACGACGGTGTCGCGCAATGGTGCGCGACAGGCAGTCTGTCCCTGTGGACGATGTCGCGCAATGGTGCGCGACACCCTAAACATCAGTTTTAATGTGCACAATGGTTCCAATTTGTGTTCATATAATCAAGTTAGGCTCGAAAGTATTTCATGTTGGCCCCGCCCCCTTTTTGGCAAACTCCGCCCACTCCATTGCCCTCTACAAAAAACTTTCTTCGTCCTCAAATCGCATAGAAAAGCTCATAGATGACAGGGGAACCTCAAATAATCTTAATTTTGACCCCGCCCCCGGAATTCAGGCTCCACCCCCTCAGTGACAAGCCCCGCCCACTTTTTAAAAATGCCGGAATTTGCACGAATTCATTGATTTTGAGCAATTTCCAGCATTTTTGAGAAGTGGGCGGGGCTTGCCAAAAGTGGGCGGAGCTGCCCCGCCCACTCGCATCTGTGTATCTTACGCATAGACGCATGCATATATATGTGCAGCCGGCTGTGAAAATGCCCGGAAACGATTCGTCCACAGGGACAGACCTTCAAAAAATGGCTCGTCGTCAACGTGTTAACGACAAATTACGAAGAGTCGCAATTGTGCCGAATCGCGCGAGTATGCCTTAGGCCTAAGACTTCTCTCACTCGTCACGTTTGAGCGTGACCCTTTCTAATCTCCGCACTTCTACGATGCGTTCGGCGGCGAAACAGAAAATTTTACTGAGTTGCAAAATGGAAGCAAAATGCGCTATCCTTCTGCTTGGAAGCTGAAGGCGCCATCCTTTCGTCTATAACAAGCCGCTACAGAATCATTCAAAGTTTTTTCAGGCCCGGCCCTGTGCATACTTACGCATCTAGCATTGCCAGATGACTGCAAATCCAACACTGGTATACCACAGATGCATAGTGTGCACAACGTCCGTAGTTTATCAATAGCCCTATAATCTGCACATTTAGAAGCTCGCTATGGGTCATTGTCAATTGGAGTGTTCCCCAGGTGTATCGCGACTGAAATCTCTTGGTGTATGCCTGGGGTCCATAGGTGCGGAAGGGAGAGCAGGATCCCCTTCAGGTAAAGGGTGTTTTACTATTGGCTGTTTACGACCTAGAAATTGAGAAGGGTAACTGGGCTTTGAGGTGAATGCTGACTGAGCGTACATGCCGATTAGGACTGGGGTATGCAAAGAGGGAAATCAATTGGTACAGTGTGTGATATGAAGAATTTTGTAATGCTTTGGTTCTGGAATGTCATCGAACAGAAACTTTTTAACTCAGGAAAGCGTTATGTCTCATCATTCGACATACCACTCGAAAGCTTGAAAAAGTAAAATCGACGTTTTTTTTTCAGCTCTTCTGTAAATTCACACATAAAATTCTTTTATCTACCTGCAGCACAAGCTATTTTTATGCGGTTACTTTACCATTCCTGAAAGGAAGGAGGAAGTGAGATAAAAAGAGGGTCGACATTTACTGGCAAAGTCTTTCTCTGCAACATAGTTGGACAATTAGGCGCCTTGATATAATTTTGCGGAAAAATTTTCTTACAAAAACACGCATGTTTTCAGCTTAAATGCCATGTATCCCCGAGTAGAGAGGATGCTAGGAACAACGAAATGTTCTCGCGAGAAACCCTGTTTTCTGAGCTTTCTAAGGTGTGTAGATTGTCAGATGAGAAAACTTGTGGATGAAATGTGGAGAAATTACTAATAGCCTGCTCCATCCCGCCCCCTTAATGGCTTGGCTTTCATGGGTCGCCGGAGCAAGACTTTTTTAGAGCGGGCGAGCTTTATGCACAAACAATTTATACATCATTTGATAGTAGAACACGAGGAATCGACATGGACCCTTCTTTCTTCCCAACTGCTCTGAGAATCGAGATATGACAAAATTTATTTAGCTACAATATCAGCTAAATTTAGAATAATGTTATGCTTTATTTTCAAAACGAAAAGATAGTTCTCAAGGCTTTACATGTGCATGAAAAGCTCTAAGATCATGGAATCTGATTGCTTCTTTATTTTTTATGCTCCCTGTAGATAGAAGATGTGATACGATTTTTCTTATTAGACATGCCACCATCATGAGAAGAACAGACTTCCTACTCTTGCACAATTCTTGGATAATATATATTCATTTAACAATGCTGTTCATTCAAAGAATCGGGTCCCGCTCATTTTTTTACGTCTATTTCACTATCAGACTAGACCATTCTGAGTGAGACAGGAGGTGTCAAACTTGTGTGGTTTCTCATCAAACGCCGTAAAAGAGCTGTCGTGTCATGCACGAACTCAGATAAAGCAGCTGCCGACGGTTTCAAACGAATTGTCCACTATTGCAAAAGTGTTTGAGTCTGCCGTTACACCTTGATCTTAGCCTCAACTTTAGGTGTGAAAGCTATCCAGATGCCGGCCCAAAAGTGGAGGGGGTAGAGAAATTGCTTCACCTATCGCACCTATGGTTTGACTCTGACGTTAAGTTTTGACCCTCGTTGCAACCTTAGGTGATAGGGCTATCCAGATGTCGGCCCAAAAGTGAAAAAAGTAGAAAATATGCTTCACCTATCGTACCCATGCTGGGGCCCTATAGCGAAGAAGAATGCAATGCCATTGAAAATCTACGGCATTACGACGTTTAGGTCAAATCTTTTATACCTGCGTTATCTTACTCTATTAGTAATGCGCTAACGCCGTCTGTGCCCTAACAGCTAAGTTTAGCTCGCCAGCAAAGAGGTGAGTGATTCGGAGCAGAGGAATGCAAGCGGTTCTGCATTATTTCCAACTCTAAAAATTGAATCGTAGGCAGTCATCATAAAGTGAAACTCGCAGATCTGAAATGCATGAAGTTGAGCTTTAAAATGGTCAAAAATTCCACTGATGTGGAACGCGTTGAGTCGTTGATGATTTATTACAA